AGTCGTCGTGGAGGTGACGGTGGAGAAGATGGGGGTTGGTATACGCGTTAAAGGAAGCGGAGAAGAAGATAGAAAGACGAAGAGGAAGGTACGAGAGAGAGAATGATAGTCGTCGACCAATAAGCAGCTAGAAACTTGGCTCACTTCCAGACAGGAAGTAATACCGGCTTTTCTAAAAGTTGCAGAGTTCGCTCTCGCTTACTCGTCCTATTCACCGGTTTGCTTCACTTGCTACCTCACTCACTCACTCATTCATTCGCTCGCTCGCTCATTCGCTTGCTTTTCTCGCTACCTGTGCGCATCTTCGCTTCGTAAGCTTACCAAAACGCGAGGGCAGGGGGAGGGGCGGGATGGACTAATCCGAAGTAATAGTTTGGACGATGGCTAACGAGCGCGATTGTTTGGGGATGCTGATAATTACGTTACCTTACTTCTTCCCCTATTTACATCTTTACCTTCTCTTATCTACTCTTCTTCATCTGTCTTTACTTTCTCTTACTAGTTTACTCTCTCTCTCTCTCGTGACAGTTTTTGACGCGAGGATAACGAGTCTTATCCTTCTTATTCTACTTCTTATTCTTCCTCATCCTTCCTTTCGTCGTTTATCCTTAAACTTTGGTCGAGCCAACGTCGAACTTGAAGTTGACTTATTTTTAACAAGCTTTTTAGAAAAAGAGGAAGAACAAGATAGAATGTTGAAACATAAATGAGAGTAACTGAAAAGAGACTAGACAATGTATAATTTTTAATTATGCATTTATATCACATTTTCCGAAACAAATTTTACTTCTATCTTTTCTCCTTTTTTCAATCACTCAAATGAAATTCTTCTTATTATAATAAAAAATGTGAAACACGGAATCATAATTTTTATCGAACTGTATGCAAAATTTAGACGATCGTTAGGTTAATAATTCAATGAAAAGTAATAAAATAATTGTAAGTTCGTAAAAGTGGGTAGAACGATAGAATAATATAGAAAGCAATATAACTTGAATGTACATAGAGCAAAGATGAAAACAACGCTCGTTATGAGTGCATCTGCTCGTGAAACTCGTCCTTTCTATTGGCATTAGACTAACATCACTTAGACCTCACCGACAAAACTTTGCAATACTCTCGCATATCATTGTCACAAGTATGGAAGTATGCAATCCTTTCATGAACGTTTCGCATGCATATATGCATACACACACACACACATTCAAACTAAGGAGTGGGATTTTACATGAACTCATAGAAATAGGATGCAAACGAGAATGCTTGTTAGCGAAACTGCTCTCATACGAATCGTTCTCGTCTGTATTCTCTTTCTCTTTCTTTTTCATTGTCTGTGGGAGAAGAAGAAATAGGAAGAGAAAGATAGAAAGAGAGGGAGAGAGACGGGGTCGATGGATAGCATGAAGGATGTTTACTCATTACAGGTAAACACAATCCATCATTCCCTTTTCCAACCCTCATCCCCAACATCGTCCTTCAGAAGCATCCTTCGTCGAATTGCAAAGATCCACGTGAATGAAACTCTTAACACAGTTCGTTCTCATGCGTACTCTCAAATTAATATCTTTTTCCTTCGTAATACTTCTTTCATTAGCCTCCTTTATTTTTTTATTTTTTAATTTTGTCTTTTTTTTATTCCCAATTTAATCTTCATATATGGATTTATACGTATAGCTTGTGTGAACGATATTCGATGAAAATTTATAGTATAAGAATTGTATTGTTTAATTTATCTAAGAATAACTAAATTCACGTTTATGTCAATAACTTAAATGTACTTAAAAGTAAAACTACCGCGAGTTGTTCTTGAGAGTATACCTAGCTAATGGATATTGTAACCATGCTTTTAGATAGTGACTCTCTAATGCAGTATTAACTAACAAGAAATATATAATCTTGAGAACAATTCTTAATAGTTTTAATCTTAGATAAAAGCGTGCAACTTAACGCGATAACATGTATGTTAATGATATTTAGAAAAAAGTTTGTAATCGTAAGAAAAATATATTTGACTTTAAACGGGTTGATATGTTTTCTCGAAACGATGAAAAAGAAAAAAAGGATTTTCTGAAATAAACACTTTTTTTCGTTAATATTTCAGTTTTTTTCTTTTTTTTAAATGAAACAAATTTTGTGTATTTATCATTACAAATAACCGAGCAGATATCTTTGTATTTGATTTTAAATAGTGGGTGGTACATTTGTGAAGAATAAAAGAAATCGCAAAGTATTCGATTATCGGAATGCTAAACTTTGATCCGCCTTCGTGGATTTCCGCTACGTTGCAAAATTATTGAAATAAAAGAAATATATTTCACTCGAGTGAGAAAGTAGAGTTTTGTTATCGATATCCCAAAGTCACAATAATTGAAAGCAACGGGAAAGGGATGATCAATGGAATATTACTTTCTTTCGTAGCTTGAAATTTTTGTTAAACGATTATGCTTCCCATAGTTCAAAGGATCATGGAAATCCTATTAAATCGTTTCGCGAGCTGTAAAAAAAGATGATGGAAAATTATATATCAATGTTATTCTGCTTCTTTTTGTCTTATCATCCTAATCGACTGATATTATTATGTTTTTCCCCAAAATGTTAAAGAATAATTTTTAAGTAAAGCTGATTTTGAAATGATCGGATTATTAACGGTGTTAATGTAAAAACCTTGAATAATCGATTGTCGGTAATTAATTTGTTAATTATTTTTCTTATCGCATCGATGATGTCGTATTTAGACATTCGAATAATAATTCGAAAGCCGATTACCGATTATCACGGAAACGAAAGCACATTTTGCTCACGCTCCTCTCGCGTGTGGAAAATCACGAAAGTTGTATGTTCTAGTTTTGTTTACACGTTTCTAGGAGTGGGCGTTATATATATATAATAGTAAAGTAACATAGTGGTAGAAGGTTACCACGTTAGTGGAACTTTCCGTGCGAGGTGAGAAACACTTTATCATGGACATCCTCCGTTAGTAGAACACTATACATATATCCGAAAGTCTGCAGAGCCTCGGCCCATTACTGAATCTTTACGACGCTTCGTGGAAACCTTGCACTCGCAAGTATTGTATTTTTGCCCTCTTTTAATTGAAACATTAATCTTCCTTTCCTTTCGTCCTTTCTTTCTCATTCCCCGAACTCGTGATATACACGGATACGATACCTAATAAACTTTGTTTTCCTTTACCCCTTTTTATTTTCAATCCTATTAATTAAAGGTGCATTAAATAATGTCAATCTATAATTCCATTAGACATTTTCTGAATTCCACGTGCATTTCAATAAAGATGATCGTATTTTTTCTATGTCGAACTTTATTTGATTTATTTTTCTTATTATTATTAAATACAATTATTAATATGAATTTTCAGAAGATTCTGATATTTGTTATGTACAGCAGCAGCATATAGTAGTATATTGCAGTATATATCCCAACCAACCAACTGACCACGATATTTTAGCAATTTCAATCAAAGTACCGATTAAGACAACGTATCGGTGCAACAATACCATTCAATAAGAAACAAATCAAATCTAATGTTAAATTAATTCGATTAACGAATATCTTTTGATTTATTCTTTATTATGTTGGAATACGTATCATTTCGGTTTTCGATAATTTCATTAAAAACTAATGATATTTCAACGAAAAGACTCATGTCAGGGGTAAAACATAATCGATTCGAAAGAAAGAAGATCGATCGAGGTTTATCTTCCCAAAAGTGCAAACTTTGCACTGCGAAATTGAAAGTGTACGTTCTTTCTCTTGTAAAGAGCGAATTATTTTAGCACAAGAAACGCAGAAGACGTCCCATGACGTCTTAAATAAATATAAAAAATCATTTTTATCCCTTCTTTTTTTTTTTCGTCGTGCTTTTAACAAAACATTCGAGAATAAAAAATATTATTACTTCGATTGTTAAGAAACGAGAAGAAAATCCTTTCTCTATTTTATCTAAATCCTTCGCAATTTTCGATAAATATCAAATATAGCGTGATTCTAATCGATAGTTTTATCGAGCGTAGAAGATCTTTCAAATGGAAACATATTATGGGAATAAGAAGCAAATTTCAGTCATGAAATATTGACAACAGAAAGATGAAGAAGAATAAGAGGAAGAAGAAGAAGATTATTCGGAACGTTATTCGAGTCGATTAAAATGAAAAGCATTCGAACGGTATTATTTGAAATTTTATTCTATCGGATGAACGAAATTATATATCGAGTAAATCGAGAAAGATATTATTATGAGCTTGGCTAAGACGAAGATATGAAAATATCTTGATATTTTCAGATAATCGGTATATTTACATGCATACACCCACACACATTCCCATATACACCCATATACACACATATACACATGCATATTTCATATCTCTTATCTCATAAATGTTGAACGTGAAATATCATGCCAGATGAATAAAGTGGAAAGTTGCTTTAAGCAGGTAAACGGTTCGATCGTTTCTACTCGTTTAAACGTCGAACATCGATATCCTCTTTTCCGATGACAAAAGAGAGTCCTATTGCTATGGGGGTAGAAATGGCGGGAAGGAGAAAGGAGGAGTAAGGGAAGCGCTGACGGTGACGAAGCCGAAGAAGGATGAGAACGACAAAAAGAGAGAAAATCAAACTCGGATATCGAATGAGAAACGCGACTACTTTCTCTTTAACTTAAGTTAGAGCATACTAACTTCTTTTTCACTCACTGGAAAGTAACTCTCTGTAAGTTTTAAGAATGATTTGCATAGGAGGAGAGAACAAATTTTCTTTTATCGAAAGAAGAAAATTCAAATTGTACAATTGTGCTATTTCAAATCGTGTTATATCAACCTTCGTGTAAAACTTCGGAATTCTCGATGATATTTTCATCAATTTCTTTTAGATGATATTTTTAGAATACTAATAAATCATATCTTTTTTTGAATATTATAAATTTGAAATAATCGTCTGACATGTAAAATAACCTTTTTTCTATATTTTTCGTTATGCAGGTGTAAGGAGCCTGGAAGATACCTGAAGGATCTTCCACCAACCGCGGTGATTATTTGCTTTCACAACGAAGCCTGGTCAGTTTTGTTAAGAACAGTACATTCTGTACTGGACAGATCACCGGATCATCTTATACAAGAAATTATTCTCGTTGATGATTTTTCGGATATGCGTAAGTAATTAAACCTTTCACGACATACTATACATATTATTAGCGACAAATATATATACAAATTATTTTATATAAAAATATATACTTCAATAATCGTCAACGATAATAGATCGTAATCATAAATGGGTTATTATTCAGTTCGCATAACCGTTCGTTAAACTCGGTAGGACCCCATGATTTTAAAATTAATTGCAATCCATCTCTATTTCTCGTTCAGTCAAAACGTAACCACGCTCGAATCAAATCTTCTTTCGTATCTTTCTGTTTTTCTTCTTCCCTCTCTCTCCCTCCTCCCCAACCTCACCCCTACCTTTTATGTATCCATTCCCGTATCATATTTCGATAGAAAATTTCGAAATGTCTATACGTATTGATTGCCGATCTCTATATGCAATCTGCTGTTTTTTTCATGAGATATACAGGAAGAAACCTTTTTTATTTCTTCTTTTTTTTTTACGATTTTACTACTCTACGACGCGCGTGAATATATTTTCTTTCTTATTCGTTTTTCAAATAGCTGTTTCTTTTTTTCTTCTCCTTCTTTTTGTTTTTCGCTAAACAAAAAGTTAATCTCGAATAGATGATCAAAAAATTGTACAGTACATCATTTGTAGATCAATAAAAATCAAAGAAAAGGGAGGAAAGAGAGAAGAAGAAAACAAATGACTGCAAAAATAGATGAAAAAGGAGTTTGGCCGTGGCAATTCCGTTTAAAGGGACCGAGATAAGCTGTTTTATGTTGGTGACCGGAAGTGGGCTTCATAAACATACTAGCGCGGACTTTTGTTGAGGGGCAAGCAATGTTAGTCTACGGAACCGTGATTACCGATAGAGACCAGCTGATAATTTTATCATAGAAACGAGATAATAAAGTTCCTTCGTTCCTTTCTCTCTCTCTCTCTTTCTCTCTCTCTCTCTCTCTCTCTCTCTCTCTCTCTCTCTCTCTCTCTCTTTTTATTTTCTACGATTTCCGCGCAACACTCGCTCGTTCGGTTGGTTGCATGTCACGAAAGCCAACGGCAGCTTCGTTTCAAACACGCGAGTCGACTCGAAAAAGTTCCTCTTTTTAGATTTTCTTTTCTTTTTTTCTTTTTCTTTAGTTTACTTCTTCTTATTGTTCTTTCACTCACTCTCATTGGTCATATTTTATATTTTAAACATCTTATCGCTCTCTTTCCACCCTTACATGTCACCTTTGTCATTATTTTTCTGATTGCATAGAGAGAGAGAGAGAAAGTGAATGAACAAATAAATAAAAGAAAATATAGAATAATAAAATGTTTGCGATAGTCGATCTTTTATATTTTATTGACAAAAAAAAAAAGAAAAAAAAAAAAGAAACTACGGGCTTAAAAATACTTTTTTACATTTACATCAAAATCCAATTTGTGTCGGCCCAGGCAATACACGTATGTGTGTTAATAAAATTTCCTTGTTTTTATGCGTCATTGTTCACATCATTCTGAGATGCGTCGGACCAAAGAAATAAAAGATAAAAAATTGCGAATAAAAAAGAACGGGATGCACGAAGAGAAAATTTTTGTCTCCTTATCAAGATGAAGAAAAAAAAAGAAAAGGAGAAATGAAGAATTAGGAGAATGGGGAGCGGGGGTGGGTGTAAATTTTATATCCTTGTCGTCCTTTGATTTCTCATTCCTTCTTTCTTTCTTCTTTCCTTTTCTTTTTTTTTTCTTTTTTTTTTCTTTTTCTTCCCCTTTCTCTTTCTCTTTGGTTCAAAGATGCAAATGGTATGCGGGCTTGATGTAAGTTCAACCACGTCGCGAACATTCCAAGGATTTTATCGATTTCCTTGGCCATTTCCATAGAGCAAACAGGAATGGAAGATAACGCGCGGGTCACAACGATCAACGAACGGAATCCCTTTATAAACCATATCCATAGTCAAGCGAGCTTAGACCATGTAGATTTAGGATCACCGTCCGGGGTCTCTTACAAAGCTATTGTAACGGAGAATAAATCAAGGGACGTCCACTAATTACTTCGGCCTTCTGAAGCGCACTTCTGTGGTCACCGCTATCCTCGTAAATCTAAATATCGTGTGTATCGTAGTTACATCTTTGTTATAGTCATATAGAAAATCTTTTCGATTTAGGGATTTAAAATAATTCCACGTTTTTCTTTACCTAATCAAATATATTTATATATATTTAGTATTTCTCTCGTCCAAAAATTACAATTTTTAATGATGAAATTTAACAGGGAACTTGGACATGAAAGAAGTAGAACTATGTTTGATTTAGTTGGACGTTTCGTCCCTTTATTGGGACTTCTTC